ATATATATATATATATGTCATATTTGACGCATATTAAAATCAATGCAAATTGATGGGATTCAAAATATCTATACGGAAAAAATCGACACCAACTAATACACAAATTCGAATAATTGATTTTATGTCGGATTTAGTTTTTCAAATAATAATCTGATAAATAATTTAAGTATATTACAAAATAATATAAAGTTCATTTCATATATAAATATATATTATATATATAAGATATAATTACATTTCAATTTTTAATTACAATATTTCGTACTCCATATTTATAATTAGTTGAAAAATATTAATAATTTGTAAAATTTAAAAGATTAGAAAATATTAATGTAACGAATTATATTAAAATAATTAATTATATTGCCATAATAATAGTTTCTAAATTATGGCAAATTTTATAAGGAAATGTTTTAATTTTTTAATAATTTTGGAAATATGCATTAAATATGTTACCAAATAATGAAGATTTACAATTAATGAGGACTTTGTATAAGTATATGGAATAATTAATTCCACGTAGGATATGAGTAGGATGCCACATAGATATGCCACGTGTCGATTTCTTAAGCTATGAGGGTTTCAATTTATATATTATATAGATAGTAATAAAAAAAATTAAATAAATAAAAAAAGAGTGGCGTGGGGGCAAGGGTGGATGGGGTTATCAAGATGCATGCAGGGCTTTAAGATGACAAAGAAGAGTTAGAAAGTATGATCTCACAAATCCCACAGCCGCCTCGTTACACATTGTGATACGACATATTATTTATTATATTATTTAGTTAATTGTTTAGTTAATATTTTATTATTAATTTATTAGATTAGTATATTTATGATAATATATGGCCGTGAGTTTTGTATTTAGGAGATTATTTAGTATTTTATTAGTTTAGGTAATTATCTTTTCTAGTTAGATTAGGATTTTAGGGTTTTCTTATATTTAAATAGTCGTCTTGTGCTAGGGTTTTATAAGGAAGAGAAATAATAAAGAAGAGTTTTCTTACGTTCAGTAAAGAAATCTTATGATACACGAGAGATCGCATCAATTGGTATCAGAGCGAAGTTGCGATTAACACCAACGCTTCGTTAGCAAGGCAGCGATTACATCAAAGCTACGCTGGAGCAAAGTTGAGATCACATCAAAACTTTGTGAAATCATGATGTCAGAAACAAGACGGTTGGAGCGATTGGAAAAATCCGTAGAGAAATTACGGATCGATTTTCAGAAATTACTCGAACAATGTCAAGGACGACGTCAACACCATCACAAAAGCCGAAGGGACCGCCGCCCATCACCGCCAGTGCCACCGCCACCACTGCCGCTGCCGAGCCTATCGCCGGAGGAAGAGGAAGAGGACGACGATGAATTTTTTAAAGAGCCACCGCTGCCGAGCCTATCGTCGGAGGAAGAGGAGGAGGATGACGATGACTTTTTCGAAGAACCCCAAATTTTTGTGAGTTCGCCGGAAGAAGAAGCATCAGATTCAACTGAGATGAAGTGGGACGAAGAGCCGAAAGAAGAAGAATCGGAGTCAACTGAGATAAAGTGGGATGAAGACGAGAAATTAATCGGTGATGAAAACGAAGAATTGCATGGAATTTTGAAAGAATTTCATAGCTTTAAGGAAGATCCGATTTTAAGTGTGGAGATTGTGGTACCCGAGAAATCCGACAATATTTCTGTAATTAGTATGAAAAGAGATAAAGGTGAAGATGATGTTGCAATTATCCACGGTATGGGGAATCGTGACATTACAAATGATCTAAATTCAATTGTGTCCCACAGAGGTTGTGAAGTTTTTCCAAAGATCCTTATTGTTAATGGAATTCTGCAAAGTAGTAGTAATTTGCTTGCAAACTTGAAGGTGGAAGAGATGAAAGAGATACTCATTTATAATGAAGTGGTCGAAAAATTATTTTACACTTGTCTTGTCAGCAGTGTTCATGTCAAATCAATTCGGAAGAAATTCGATGGCGTCAAGCATAGATGGAAACACAGAAAAAAAGAGACAATTATTGGGCAGAACCTTGAGGACAAGGTTCATTTCAAGAGGGGTGGTTTGATACGACATATTATTTATTATATTATTTAGTTAATTGTTTAGTTAATATTTTATTATTAATTTATTAGATTAGTATATTTATGATAATATATGGCCGTGAGTTTTGTATTTAGGAGATTATTTAGTATTTTATTAGTTTAGGTAATTATCTTTTCTAGTTAGATTAGGATTTTAGGGTTTTCTTATATTTAAATAGTCGTCTTGTGCTAGGGTTTTATAAGGAAGAGAAATAATAAAGAAGAGTTTTCTTACGTTCAGTAAAGAAATTTTATGATACACAAGAGATCGTATCACATTGCTGTACCGCCGTCGCTCCGTTCCACCGCCACTACCACCACCGCACCACCACGACCACCACCACCCCCTCTCTCTCTCTCTATATATATATATATCTCTATACGATATTTTATTGCAATATTTGAAGTATCTTTTAGGTAAATAGTCCTGCAAATATGTCCAATATATAATTAACTATTTTTGTATTTGTTTTATTCAAGATTGACAAAATTAACATAAAGTTTAAGGATTAAATAATAAATATTGTAAATGATAGGGGCCAAGTACAAAATCAAGAACACATCAAGATTAAACGAAACAAAACATTGAGAGGAGAGGGGGCTTGTTTGGACCACGCTAGCACCGTGACAAGCGCATAATCCACGTGGCGAGTTGAACCACGTGGGGTGGTGCCACGTGGAGCATGTGTGGTAGCCGTTATTAGTGGTTGAGCACTCATCTATTGTCCCTTGCAATAGCTACACAAAAGTTTAAGCCATGCATACATGTCTTCTTCTTGCCTTCTCACTTGCCATTAATTTATTTGTTTCATCCACTTTTATATTTATTGTGATAAATATTATAATTTTTTTATTTGAGTAAATGATAGCAAAATGTTGGGAAAATTACACTTTTGATCCCTTAAGTTTATCTAAAATTCACATTTGGTCCCCTTCGTTTATAAGAAACATATTTAGTCCTTCGTGGTTAAAAAAATCGAACACTTTTGGTCATTTCCATCGATTTCTATTAGTACTAAGCATGTGCATCTTGTCACAACTGGCGGAATAATGGTTTGAACTTCGACGGAAATGACCGCGAATATTAAATTATTGAAACATGATGGACTAAATTAGAAAATAAGATAAATGACATGAATATTTTTTGTCAAGCTATATTTTTCCTTAAAATCCAAGTATATTTATTAGTGTTTTTTTATATGTGCACAACAACTCAAAACGATACTAATTCTGAAACAAAAGGAGTAATTAAGTAGAACGAGTAGGAAAAAATATGTGCCAAAGCTTGGTTTGGAGGAAATATCTATATATGTAAATTTTAATAATGAAATGAATTAAGTTAAGACTTTGACTTACAATTAATAAATTGTTAAACTCATTACTAATTTGTTATCCTTACAATGAGTTAATAATGACCTCGATCAGTGTTCCATAAATCTTGAAAAAGGCTTCTCACTTTTTGCCTTTTCAACATTCAAATAAATAAATTAATTAATTAATAAAACAAATAAATGAAATTAGCATGAAAACAAGAAACAAGGAAAACACATGGCCATTTAACACAAGAAAAACTTCACACACAAAGACAAGGAAATAAGTGTTCCTCGGTTTGAACAAATTTGGACAGGCTCTTGCTTTTGTGCTTCTCTTGTTCTTTACCTTCTCTTACACTATTAATTAATATATCCATTTTTTTTAAATAAATAAAAATAAAAACTCAAATTCTTCTTCATATATATATATACTAAGCAAAAGGGCAGTATTTTTTTGCCTCTCGGTTTTATAAATAAATTTTCTATGCAGAAAAATGAGGATAAGTTGAATATTCCAGCTAGGGTTTCAACAAAATCTTCAAAAGAGGACAGCAGATTCGAGAAGGACGAGGCTGGAAAGAATATTCAGGCGAAAGGGAATATTCCGGTGGAAGTTTCATCCGGTGCAACACGGGTAGCTTCAGTTTCTTGGACGGTGCCTCACAAGAAAAGAGGAGAGCAAGAACCGGGGTTTAATTTAGACTATTTGCCACCAAAAACGCACCCTCCGGTCCACAATTGATCGACTCTAGATCAAAATCTTCGATTAATTTTCTGAAAAAAGATGGTGAGATAGTTAATCAAGTTGTTGGGTTATGCCCTAGAATTATATCTCAGGGCACAAATATCTCGATTAATTGCATCGTACGATGCAATCTATCTCTATAAAAAAAATCGCGTATTTAAATATGTATTAGTATATATAGTAGAAACATGCATGTAATGTATATTGGAGAATGTTATATTATTGAAGAAATTGATGAGCTTTTTTGCCTTATTGTCACTCTTATCGTAAAACCGATTGTAAATTTTTTGTTTTCCGTCTATCGTCTGCTATAAGAAGTTTGTAATCGATGCATGCTTCTCTTTCATTTGTAGTGATCGATTTCTGCTGTCTTTTAAACGTCAAATCTAGTATATTATTTTCTACTTACACATTTTCATATAATCATTTCTGATCTGCTGTGCATTGTACTACCTTATACAGTGATCCAATAATACAGTGAGCATGAATATCTGAATATTTTTAAAATAAAAAATAAAAATGGAAATTGAAATCATGTATTACTAATTAATAATTTTCAAAATAAAATTAATCATTTTATCCATAAAAATTGACATTTGAACAAAAAAAATCTTGATCAAAAGTAATTTAATTTTCTACTTGCTTGCTACTCTTCAAGAATCGTTTAATAATGGCCTAAAATATTTTATATCGTTTTAGTTAATAACATGTTCGGTTCCTTTTATATGAAATAGACAAATGCCCACACATTAAAAAATGGGAAAAATACAGTATTGGTCCCTCAAGTTTGCACCAATTTCACATTTGGTCCCTCATACTTTCAAAAAATACATTTGGTCTCTCATGTTTCAAAAATTCAACATTTTTAGTCATTTTTGTCAATTTTCTGTTAATAATAACGGAATCAAGTGTGTGCTCATCATTTCCTTAACTAGCGGATTAACGATAAATTGACAAAAATTACCAAAAATGTAAAATTATTGAAACATGAGGGACGAAAAATATTTTTTGTGAACACAACGGACCAAATATGGAATTAGTGCAAACTTGAGGGATGAAAACTGTAATTTTGTTATGAAAAAATTGTATGAAATTGATTACATTTCCCGCCAGAATATTTTTGATTCCATTTTGAAATATCGCTACTTACTCACTAACGACTTTAGCTTTTCTTCCGCCACTCAGAATCAGGACCCCTCTCTCTCTCTCACACACACACACACACACACACACACACACACACACACACACACACACATTCTCTCTCTCTCTCTAGAATTTTGAGAACGATGGAAGTGAAAGAAGCGGGAGCGTCACTTGATGCACTGATTTCATCGTTCAACAGCCGCGTCGCCGAGCTACAGCAGCTTGTCATTGCTCGCAACAGTTAATTTTTTTAATCGATTCCCCCCCCTTCCGATCATCAAATTTCAAATTGATTTGCCCTAAAAATCATTTGCATTTCGAAATTGTACAGATCGACCAATTTCTGTTGTTTTGTTGAAATTGAGCAGTGTATCCGGCGGGCAGCGTCAGCGATTTGACGGCGATTGATGCGTCGCTGAAGGGCATGGAGCTTCAGGTCCAAAATATTAAGACTCGTTTACGCGAAGAAACTCGAGCAATTCCTAAAGCCAAAGTAAAACATGATTTCTACATTGTTTTCTGTTTGTTACCTTCGATTTTGCTGTGGTTTTTGTTGAATTTTAGACTCCGATTACGAAATTGATGAAACTTTATGTATAAAGGTGAAATAGGATTTATGAAGTATGGAATGTTCGGAATTTGATGGTTTTTCTGGTATATATTTTAAATTAATGAATGTTCACATTTTCTGATGAATGTTTGAAATTTTCCGGTGAATATAATCGAAATTGACTTAGTTTCTGGTGAATATTAGGAATTGATGAATTTTGTTGTGAATGTTCGAAATTGGTGAATTTTCTGGTGAACTGTTCGAAATAGACTAAATTTCTGGTGAATATAATCGAAATTGACTGAGTTTCTGGTGAATATTAGGAATTGATGAATTTTGTGGTGCATGTTCGAAATTGACTAAATTTCTGGTGAAAATAATCGAAATTGACTAAATTTTATTTTTCTTAGTTTAGTGATGAGTTATTGGAATTGTTTTCATGGTGATTGCAGAAATTAATAGAGGCGGCACTGCAGCAACAAAAGAAATTGGAGACTATTTCCGCTTGTGTTCCGTCTTCCGTCACCGATACAAATACCAAATCGAATCACGATGCTAGCAAATGGTGGTTCTAAATCTTAATGCTAAAGTAGTTTTAGGTTCTCATATATATACTCATCAATCTAATTTTAAACTCTTTTATCTTTTTCGTTTTTTATATTTGTTTCAGCGTGCAAAGAGACGAGTACAAGCATGATCTTGGATTTGATTCTTTAAAGCTCGAGGAGCCTGCACCGAAAGTAACGAACATCTCCCATCTTATTGCATCTATTTTCATTTTTATTTGTAACAAGGTTTTAGTAAAAAGATTTCAAAAAAAAAATCCTTGGGAAGTTCTTACAGATTTAAATTTTCATTTATTTTTTGTTTCAGGAGAAAAAGGGGCGACCCTCCCCTCCAATGTGGTATGTCACGGCCGACGAGCTGAATTCTGTGTCATCGTAAGTGAATTTCGGTTTTAATTTGTGATATTTCAGCCTGCATATGTATTTATTACATATTTTAAGGTTATTTCTCAAATAAATTTGTAGGTATATGAAACAGAGGCTCACTCTGGAGAAAATGAATGCTGCAATTGAAGACATGGCAAGTTATGCTGAAGCAAATGCACAGCTTATTGCAGCACCGAGACGAAAGGTTATTGTTCGTCCTCGTTATTTTATTTCTTATTTTCCAGAATCTTTACTTAAAAATATTCCATTTTTACTGATCCTCTTTATTTTATTTTTCTAATTGGTGAAGCTGACCGAGAGTAACATTGACAAGGCTCTGGTAAGTATATATCCTCACATACAGGTTTATAGTCTCGTATAGTCATGCACAAAATTTTGATGTACGTATTATATATGCAGGAATTAAGGGAGATTTCAACGACAGACGGAGTGAAAGGAAAACACTTCTTTCTAGAATCAGATATTAAAGGGCCTTCACTGAAACTTGACAACACCGGAAAAGCACTGTTGACGGTTAGTGTTCCCCATTTAACCGAGAAAACAACCCCCCCTTTTTTTTCCTTCTGTGTAAGGGAAAATCGATAAATATGCATTTAATGTATGGAACTAATCTTCATGGCTTTTTAACCTTGGTTAGGTTCTTCGTCATTTGGGTCGGATAAGCGAGACTCGAATCGGGCATAACCGAGTCATCATCCTACTGAGGCCGTAAGTATCGATTTTATCTTACGAACAAAAATTCAAGAATTGCTCTCATGTTTTTTGGACAATGCAGTCTATACTTTTTTAAGGTAACATTTTTCTTGTTAATACATTATCCAAAACAATGCCACCTAATCATGAATACAAAGATTACAAGACACAAACAAACAAACCAAACAACAGATACATAAATCGGAACAAAATACCCTTAAGAACAAACGAACCCTTTCGGAACTTTCTTGCCACATGAATTAACAACCAAACTCAAAGCAACTGGTATATCAATCTTGACAAGGCCAAGTACATTGGCCTTAATTGCAGTGCACAAACACAATGCAGCTTCGACGTTAGCTAAGCCCTCGATAAGTGCGCAGCATTTCTTGCTAGGTTTAGTCCCGATAACCTCGTGAACAAGTCCTAACCAGTCTCCACAGACACCGAATTTAAGTGTGTCTCTGGGGCATTTGGCGGGGCCCACTTTTGGTGGGGCCGATGCCGAAGGAGTGCTCTTCGGCGGGCATGGCACATTTTCAGATGAAACACAAGTGAGGAAGAAGAAGATGATGTTGATGAGTGTAATCAAAGTAGGGATTTTATTTAGACTTGCCATTATTCTTAGCTGTGTTTTTTTTTTTTGCGAATTGGGGTTTTTATATACAAAATTATTTTATTTAGTTTATTTATTTATTTATGTATTGCATATAGTGATTGGTGTGGGTTGAATAAGAAGTTATATATCTAATCTTTGTGTTGTGTTTATTGACCACTCATAGTGGCTGATTTTTGGACCATGTGGACTAAGATCACATGTTGTGATTTTGGCTCTACCTGTCTGGGCAGCATAATCTTTTTTTTTTTTTTTTTTTTCTTTTTTTTAAATTTTTTTAAAATCTTTTAATTGGCCGGCTACAACTACACTCAAAATGGAACCAAACTTTTGACCTAATATTAAGAGAGTGTGTACACTTATAAATGCACAAAGCGAATTTCTATCGATTCCAATCTGAAAATTTACGATTTTAGATCCGAATATATTCATTATGAGTCCAGTTTTTATGAAAAAAAATTGGATGGGGAAAGGAAATCTATACAAGCATCCGATTTTCGACTTGATTTTAATCTTTGAAAGTAGTTCCAAATTTTACTTTTATAATATCAATATCATTAAATAATTTATATTATATGTGAATAAAAATTAATTGAACTTTGTTGATTTTGATCTGAAAAATCTGATTTTGGAACGAACTGAAATCAGTTTTTCATTTTCAATTTTTTTGTTTCAGAATTTCTCAGAAAGATTTATGCATCCAATTTCCACCCATACTAGTGAATATTATTTGATTTTTTTTTTTAAATAAACAAAGAAACAAACATTGAGTGTTTACCCGGAAATAAACTTTGTCACAATATGTTGATTCTTGGGGAAGAGGAAATCGGAAAAACAACCCAGATCATTACGTAAGCATTAAATAAAATAAAAATAATTAAAAAAAAAAAAGATTTTCTTGCTTAATACGACACAGAAATAGCATATATATTATAAACAGAGAGCCAAACTCCATAAACAAACAAAAAATGGTATTCATAAGAAGCAAACTGATGTTCATGTTAGGGATAATCGGAGGAGCATACGTTGCTCAAAACTACGACGTACCGAATATCAAGAATTTGATCAAAACCGCGATGTTGAAGGGGAAGACTCTCGAGCAGACCTACCGGAAACCCAACCCTAATAGCTCCACTAATCACAATTTAGATGAATAAATTTTATTCAGTGTGTTAATCGCAATGTAATCTTATTTATATTTCTATCTTTTCATTCCTCTGTTATTTATTTTCAGTGTTGTTTATCCCACAGTTTTGTGATGATGATGATGGTTTGAAAATTGAATTGAAATAGATATTTTAATTTTTGTGAATTGATTAAATTGATCTCGCTAGTTATTTTGAATTTAATACTTCCATATTGTATTTGTTGTTTTGGATAATTCTTTTTTTATTTCGAGTTATATGTCACTTAGTTGCAGGGAAGAATTAATGGTAAAACAATTAATGGGAATAACTATTTTTATAACTTTATTGTGTTTTTCTCTAGAATTCATTAACATTTATTAGTTTTGCTTAGTAGTGAAAATTGGTAAAAGTTCTCTCAAAAACTTAATGGGATATTTTGAGTTTGCTTAAAGTCTACCGGGCAGCTTAATTGGACATTTTATACTAATAACTTAGAGTCTTAGACGGAAAATGAACGGTATAGTTGGAGAGTTTAGACTGAAAATATACAGCTCAGTAAGAGAGTTTAGACGGAAAATAGATAGATTTGACTGAGAAGGAGGGTTGAGACCGATGAGAATAACATTGTTGTCAAAAATTAAGCGGGCGGGGGCGAGGGAGTGGCATGAGAGGCGAATGAACGGAATTTGTTAGCCTTTGGTCCGGCAGCAATTGTACACGTACCAATTGGTTCTAGGACAACTAGTAGTGTTGCTAGTAGTCCTACAAAATTAGTATCAATGTGTATTTGCAATCTAAACTCTCTAACTAAGATACTCAGAAGAACTTTTAGTAAAATGAGAAAATATAAGTGTCTTGATAAAAGAAAAAATAATCTATACTTAGAAGAACTTTTAGTAACATGAGAAAATATATGTGTCTTGATAAAAGAAAAAATAATATAAACTCTCTAACTAAGATGCTCAGAAGAACTTCTAGTAAAATGGGAATATATATAAGTGTCCTGGTAAAAGAAAAAATAATTAGACTTGAAGGGTGTTTTAGTAAATATAAATGTCATGATACAACAATTTATATTGGATTGGTGACAAAGAAATTTGTTTGGCGAGGAGGGTTCAAGGAAATTGATGTTGTTTATTCTACTAATTTAAAGAGTTGACAAATGACACTTGAATAAGTATATTACGCGTGCCCTAATTCCCAAGAAAACCCTTCAATATATATATATATATATACATCTTCCATAACTTGTATAAACTATAAACAGGGGTACAAAAAGAAATCAGAGAGAGAGAGAGAGAGAGAGAGAGAGAGAGAGAGAGAGAGAGAGAGAGAGAGAATGGCAATATTGAGAAGAAGCATTACATTAATGGCAGGTACATTTTTGGGTGTATATATAGCACAGAATTACAATGTACCAAACGTCAGCAAATTGGTCAAAGCTGCTGGTTTTATGGTCAAACATTTGGAGGAGACATACCGCAAACCTATCAACAAAACCAAACCTGAAGAACATGATAATGTTCAACAATGATTGCTTATACAGTACCACCTTTTCCACATACTAATGTGTGTTTTCTGTGTGTGTGTGTGTAAAGATCATGTATAAATTTAAACTTCGTTTGATAATAATTGCTTGTGCTGGTGTATTAATATGACCATTTCACATGATCCATTAAATCGAGTTTCAAGATTTTCCCCCAAAAATAAGAAGAAAAAAAAACAGAGATATTGCCTTCAAAATCGAGAGCGTTTAGAGTATTCGACTAAGCTCGATTTACGTAAAATATGACACTCACCACCATCAAAAGCAGGGCATGTTCGAATTCTGATAATACATAATTGCATTTGCCAACAATTTTTGGCATGAAAAAAAAAAATATTTGCCTCAAGTTCTTGAATTTAATTATAATAAATTTCTTGTAATATAAATTAATTATAATAATCACTTATTTCCTGATGAAATATCCCACAATAAAGCCCACAATTAGGCCAAAAATCAGCTTCATAATAGATACACCACCACCTTGTCCTCGTCTCGTTTCTTTTCGTATCAATTCCTGCCCAAGATAAAAATGAGAATAAAAACAGGGATTCGACTGATGATTCTGTTCTAATAACAACTGTATAAGAAAAAGTAATTGAACGTAGAAATCGAGCAAATACCAATTCACTAAGGAGCTTTTGGTTTTGTTTGAGAACAGAAGCTTTCTCGTCGTTCAACTTCGATACAGTTGACCATCCCTGAAGAAGATGAAAAATATTGCTCAAAGTTGAAATCAATGGGCAACTCGGGTAAATTACGGCCGCACCCTTGAGGGAAGGTCAAATTACGAAAAACTCCCACATATTTGGGTAATTACAACCACTCCCTCAACTATGAATTTCTTACACACCTACCATTGCGATGTCAAATTTAGTTAAATCTTCTAGATTACGTGGAATATTCTCCACCCCAGTTTGTACCCGTTTTTCGCCATTCAAGTTCCACATTTTGAAACAATACGATCATAAGATGTGTCTCTCGACTTGTAAATATCAGATTGTGGTGCATCAGAAAATGCATTTTTGCACAAAACGAGTACAAACTAAAGAATATTCCACGAAAGCTACAAGATTTTATTGGATTTGACACCATAAGGGTGGACGTGTAAGACGATTCATAGTTGAGGGGTTGGTTGTAATTACCCACACATGAGGAAGTTTTTCATAATTTGACCTTACCGGTAACCGTAATTTAGGGGTGAGTTCGGGACGGGATTTCGGGAATTCGGGATTTTCGGGATCGGGATTTCGGGATTCGGGATAGAAATTTCAAATCCCAATCCCGTCCCAAACTATTAAATCCCGGTTATATCGGTATCCCTAAATATTTCGGGAATCGGGATTGGGATCGGGAAATCCCATATTTTGCCTAAAAACTAAGAAATATTGCATCTTTTTTCCATTAGTATTATTTTATATACTAAACCAACTTGAATATATTATATACATACTATTGTTCTTGCCTTATTTATTTTTACCACAAAACTTGGAACAAATAATATTTTAAAAATTTAAAAATAAGTTGAAACAATATATTTTATATTGTATTTCTCATCTCCTTGACACTATATATATATATATATATATATATATATATG